TGTCACTTCTCTTTTGTGTCTTTTCAAGTTGGTCAACGTTCTTATCTGAATTGTAAAGAAGTGTCCCAACTTTCTCTTGTGCTAACACATCTCCCTTTCTCCCCGCATTTTTCAAAGCATTGAAGTGCTTTAAATAAATCTTTTTTAAGACCACATCCATGCAAGTAACACTCCCCTAGTAAATATTCTCCTTCGACTAATCCATCACTTATAACATCTTCAAAGACGTTGACACTTAACTCAAATTGGTAATATCGCAATAAACATTTCCCAAACATTAACTCGGCTTTTATATACCCTACACCCATCCCTTTTTCACTCCACTGTAAAGCACTTGATATACTCTTCTCTACTCCATCTCCATAATAATAACAATTGGCTAAGTTATACATAGCTGTCCCATTCCCATTTTCAGAAGCTTTTAAAAACCATTTGACTCCTTTCGACTTGTCCTCTTTAACACCTTCTCCACAAAAATAACATTTCCCTAAACTACACATCCCACTCACTCCTCCAGCTTTTGCAGATTTTTTAAACCACTTGAATGCAGTATTACTGTCTTGGGCAACTCCATCACCTACTTGATACCAACACCCAACATTGAACATGCCAACACTACTTCCATTAGTAGCAGATGTTTGGGTCCAATAGCGAGAAAGTTGTTTATCCACAGAAACACCTTTGCCATATTCATAACACGAAGCGAGAAGACACTGCGCTTCGGAATCTCCTAAAGCCGCTGACTGCTTTAGGTATGTGACACCTTCTACATTGTTCATTGGTACACCATCACCATTGAAATAACAGACGGCTAAGTTATACATCCCCTCTTTACTCCCCATCATCCCAGAACGCTTGAAACATTCAACAGCACTAACATAATCTTTTTCCCCAGTCTCTCCATTGAAAAGTAAAACACCTCTGTTGTTCTCAGCAGCACCACATCCACCGATTGCTGCCTTTTCAAAAAACGTCATCGCTGTTTTCATCTCAATTTTTCCTGTTGCTCCAAGAGCATACAACACACCACAATTGTTTGTACCGTCCATATTACCACTCACAGAACTACTTTGAAATAATTGAAGTGCTGTTTTCGACGATTCAGAGTCTTGTTGCATCATATACAAAACAATTCCAAGATGCAGGTCAGCTTGTGGGTAATGGTCAACCATCAAACGACGAAGAAGGCGCTCGGACTTTAAGAGGTTCTTTGGACTCTCATACATGCACTTCATTGCCAATGCAAACGTTGCTTCTTTATTCTCTTGAGAGGACAGTGTCTCGAGAACACTGAGTTTTTGTTTGTCTGTTAACACAAACCCACCATTGATGAGTGCAATGAGTTTCAGTTGCGACTGGACATCTGTCTGAGAACAGTCGATGAGCAAGTCAACTCCTTCTTCGATCTGCCCACTTCTAATTAAGAGTTTCGATAACAACTTTTTAGAAGGCAAATGCGTTTTACTTCCTCGTTTTTGTAAAACTTCTATAGCTTGTTGATAATTTCCATTGCGATATAATTTTGTCGCAACGTAGTACACGCCATCATCAGTATCTTTCTTCCCCAAGTCTTGTAGAAAAGAGTTGCATATCGTGTGAATTGAAATTGAAGGTGAGAGACCAGACAACACACAACCGTGCTTTTCGATGATTGGGTGCGATGTAATGATTTCGTTTGATGGGTTCCGAATTTTGTTAATTTGAATGATTAATTGTTCAATCGCTTTTTGTTATTTTTTCAGAAATTATAAAAAAGTTGAATCCAATTCGATAAAAATATCGAATTCCAGAAATGCAACATTTGGAATTAAAACAAAAAATATCAAACATAATCTTTCTTTTGGGTTTTGATTCCAACAATTTTCGATGATGCTAAAAACTTGACTTGGTATCGCAGAAGTCTTTTTTGGTCGGTTTCCTTCTTGCACAAATTTGATTATTTCAACCTTAGACATGCCACAAAAAAACTCGCGTTGTGAAATTGACTCATATAACATCATCCCAAAACTGTAAGTGTCACACTCAAACCCATAATTACCACCAGACATAATTTCTGGGGCCATGTAACACACTGTTCCGACTATATGAGTCATACCAACATTCTCATCATAAATAGTCGCCGAACCCAAGTCCGCCAATTTGGCGTTGATGTCGATAAATTTCTTGTAGTTGAACAACACCACATTTGCTGGTTTGATATCGCGATGTATCACATTGTTTTTGTGGAGAAATTGGATCGCTTTGAGCACATCGAGGAGTACTTTCATTTTCAGTTCATACGACATAATTTTCATTTTGGTATCGAATCCTCCATAAGGCGCAAGTTCCAATAAGAAGTGGACGGACCCTTCAAAGTACGACATTCCAAAGCATTGGACCAAATATGGATTTCGCAAATTGACAAGGAGTTCGAGCTCCTTTGCGACAAGCTGTGGCGATCCAACAACACGTTTGATAGCAATTTTCTGTGAGTTGTACATCCCCTCAAAAACAACAGATGAAACGCCCCTCCCAATAACTTTCTCTGCAGATAATCCACTCACGAATTCCGGATTCACCCAAAGAGATGGCTGTGTTTTAAACGATACGTCAAATTCACAGTAAATTGAAGCGTCGACATATATCGATATTTTTGTGTTGATGTGTGTACAACACGTCGGATGGAGAATGACAGCAAAAAACTTTTGCGAGTTCGGGCATATTTGAAGCTTTTTGGGGTAAAAAGACAATGAAAAGGTTGGCGTGTCGACATTTTTACCTTCAACGCAAATCGAGTGCGTTGTTTTGTTGTTGACACATAGTTGTTCAGTTGTTTCTTGCATCACTGGGATCAATTTTCCTCCAAATAGTTTAAGAGATAGAAAAAATGGGGTTTTTAAAACCAACCTCTCTTCTAAAACGTCAACAGACGCTTGGACCATGGACTCGGAACCAACGGGGTCAAAGTCGAAATCGTCCATTCAGTCTTTCAGTTTTGAGTTCTGGATATTTTTCCAATTTCATATTTCGATTTTATATCTGAGGTTATTAATTTATTGTTTACTTAAGTACAAAATACTATATTTTAAAGATTTTTCTTTGCAATTTCAAGAAATCGATTTGTTTTTAGTAATTCTGTAGTTTTATTTAGTTATAATACAAAAGGTATAATTATAGTAAGTTAATAATATAATGATGAGTCGAATAATCCCATCATAAAGTTCCTTCTTTTGCACGTGAGTGATTGGTTTTGCAGTGGTGCTGCACGAGGCACGTTTCGTGAAGTTCGGCACAGTTTGTGTTTTCGTCGTTGCGAAGGACACATGTGTTTTTCATTCTTGAGCAATGAACAACATCACCATATTGACACCTCTTTGGCTTGGCAGACACAACCAACACAATGGAAAGCACCAACATTAATAACATAATAATTGCTCCTCCCTGCCATTTTCGTGCTTTAAATGAGCTGTCATTCCGTTATTGTTTGTCATTTACTCATTTTAGATTATTTTTTCGTTTTTTTCACAAAAACATTTTGTTGTTTTTTTACAAATAAATAATTTAATTAAATATTTAAATTATTAACAAATAAAAAATAAAAATAAAAAATAAAAATAAATAAAAATGGTCCCGGCGGGGATCGAACCCGCGACCCTCGCATTTCTCTATTCTATAAGTACGATGCACTACCGACTGTGCTACGGGGCCTTCTTATAATAATAAAAAATAATCAATATGGTAATTGATGTAATCAATTTAAAAATATAATTTTAATTTAGTATAGTTTTATCAAAAATAATGGTTGAGTAATAAAATGGTTATAGTTTTTACAATAATTGCATTAAAGCACATTATATAAAAATACTCATTCAATATAATTTACAATAAGTAAATTATACTACAAAAATGGTTTTATTTAAAAATAAAAATGTTCTTCTTTTGTTCCTTTGTTTTTCAACTTGAAAATATCCCACAAAATTCCACCTATTTTCGTGTGAAAATTTTGGCTTCTTTCCATTTTGCACTCATTTGAACGTGCTTGACATTATCTACAATTTCAAAGTAACAGCAATGTCTTTTGGAGTCGAATTAACACGAACACGCCCAAAACCACAAAGCTGCTGTGACTGCACATTTCCTCTTTTCTGTTTCCCTGTTTGTTACCAGTGCAAAAAAGTTGTCTACAACTGCAGCCATCAAACTGATATTCGTCGTCGCACAGTTGCACTGAGTGTCAAGTTAACTCGACTTATGAATGACTATCAAACACTTTTAGAATGTTTTGACCCAACAAATCCGGAAGGGTTTCAGCCGCTGAAAGACCAATTTTTAGAAATGGTTAACACCCTTGTTAAACAATCTTTTGAGCCCGAAGACACCTCATTTGAGAGGCAAAAAGCTGTTCAGAGGTCTCAAGAAATAAAGTCGAAAATTCTCAATGAAGTATTTGAGACGGAACAGGCTTATAATGCTGACCTGTTATTAACTCTCCAATATTATATTCCTCTTGTTCAAAAGGAACTTAAAAGTGATGGTGTAGAGTTTGAAACTATTTTAGAAAAAATTTTGTATCTTTCGAATGATTTTGTCTATGTTCTTGAAAATAAGAAAGAAACGATATTAGAAGAGATTCAAACACTTATTGGAAGACTCGACATTTACGCAGACTACTTCGCACTGTACCATAAAAACTGTAAAAAGCTCGAGGAGATGAGGAAGATGGAAAGTTTTTTGAAATTGAAAAACAACGGGCTGTTTCTCAGAAAACTCGACGTCATGGACTTTTTGGTCAAACCACTCCAACGACTGACAAAGTACCCACTGTTACTTAAAGAGGCGAAAAAGTATTTAGTTGCTCCAAATGAAATCACGTGGGTGACTAAAGTCGAGACACGGTTGCAAGAGGTCATCCAAACGCAGAATGAAAGGCAAAGGAAGTTTGTGTCGAACGAAATGCTCAAAAACATTGAACCCAAATTGAACTGGAAAAAACATCAAAAAATTGACTTCACCCAAGCGGACTTACTTTCAGAGAGTGATGTAAGTGCTTATGAAATCTCCAAAAAGGAAAAGATTCTCGACAAATTGCTTACATTCCACGATCGGATATTATTTGCAAAGAGCGGAGTGTTGGGAAAATATGATGTTAGTGATATTGTCTTATTCACTGAGATAGAGCTGAACACAAAAAGCACTGTACAGAAGGAGGTTGAACTTAAAATAAAACGAGAGAATCCAAAGAAGTACAATATCACGTTTAAGTCGCAAAACGAGAAGAGCGTCTGGATCACTAAATTCAAAGAATTTACTGCTAAAAAAGACACTTTTGGATTGGTCAAAAGCACAACAAGAAGCGAAGTACAAACACTGAAAAAACCAAAAGAAAAAGACGTATTTTCACTCTTACATAACTACTCGTCCTCAACAATGGGTAAACTCACAACGTCTGAAGAATTTGTACATGTGTCAAGACAGTCTTTGCTTTAATGATTTACTAATAATTTACTATACATTTTCTTTTGTTTTTTTTATAGATAAATACAATTAAAATAAATATTTTATCACAAAATTAAAATGAAAATACGACAATTAAATCATTAAATTATTTTATAAAAAATTGTGCAAAAACTATTTTATTATAAGATTAACATTTTTGCTGTTTTAAATATAAATATCACAACAAATCATATTTACAATCAACGTTATCAAGTCATTGTATTGACAAACTATCATTTTTATTGATTGTTATCATGGATTTGTGTGTGAAAACACAAAAAACTTACCAATAAAATATACCTTTTATTGATTTTTAATAACACTCAATTCTTGTTGTCTGAAAATAACAAATACTGGAAAAGGATGTCTGGAAATATCATTTGAAAATATTTAAGAGTATTTATTAACAAATAATGATTTAATT